TGTTCTTCTTCTTCAGTAGTGCTTTGCTTATCTGAGGTCTCTTTCCTTTCCATATAAAGTTAGTGATTGGTTTTTCCATATCCCTAAAGAATGTTGATGAGATCTGGATTGGGATTGCATTGAATGTATAGATTGCTTTGGGTAGAATCAACATTTTCAGATTGTGATATTTTCTGAAGCAGGAAATTTTCTCATTTTCATTGATTTTATTATGAATTCTCAGTCTCCCTAGGGGTTATTCTGAACCTTCTGTACTTTTTTCAAAACTTTAGCTCCCATAGATCATTTTTCTCCTCTTGCTCATCAAATGTATCACTTCAAATTTCACAAAGAAAGAGGAACAGAGAATCTTCAATGCCCTGTCACCCCACCTAGAAAAGTACCTGTATCCACAGCAACTCTTATTTTTTCTGCTCCTAATAATGTTTCTTGCCAAAGGCCAATCTCCCTGTCTGTTCTTTTGATGCCATTAAATTCTACTTCTGCAGCATCTTGGATTAATCAATTATACCAGTTCTCTCCTAACATTTTGAACTTTTTTTTTTTGTTATTGTTATTGTTATAGCTTCCTCTCTTCCTAAGGCATCTAACTGCTAACCAGAAGACTGGCAGTTCAAACCCACAAGCCACTCCTTGGAAGGAAGATTGAGCAATCTACTTCCATAGTGATACTGCCTCGGAAACCCAAGGAGGAGTCACTATGAGTTGCATCCAACTTGACAACAGTGAGTTTGGTATTTTTTTTTCTTCTTCTTCCCTTCCACATTTTAAACTATCTCTGTTCTCACATCTTGAAAAACAAAACAAAACAAAAAACTACCACAAATGAAAACAAACCTGTCTTGGCCCTATGTTCTCCATACACTTCCTTTCTCTCTCTTCTTCTTCTTCACAGGGAAATTTCTAGAAAATATTATCCACATTTTCTTTCCTAAGTTGCTCACCTTCCTTTTACTTCTCAACCTTTACCATTTCACTCATATTGCCTTGTCAAGGTTACCAATGACTTTTTTACAGCTAAAATCAGTAGACACATCTCATACTTTATCATACTGACCACATCCTCCTTGAGGCATTTTTTTCCGCTTAGGTTCCCCAACACCTCACCACAGTGGGTTTCTTCCCACTTCTCTGGCCGATCCTTCTCAGTCACTTTTGTGACATAATTTTTTTTTCTCATCCCTTAATTTCTGGACTGGCAAAGTCCCCTACCACCCCACGTTCTTTCTTTCTCACTCTCTGTATTTTCCCTAGTCTGTCTCAACCACTGCTAAGATTTTAATTAGTAAGCCCATACTCAAATTTCCAATTCTCCACTCTTTCCTGAAGTTCTTACTCTGCCTATGGGACTTCTGCACCTGGGTTGTTCTACAAGTCCATCCAAAGCTAAACTTATCTTTATCCTTCACCCCATCACAGGTTCTTTGCCTCAAACCTCTTCCTGCCAAATGAGGCTTATCATCCTCACAGCTGCCAAAGGCAGAACCTGGATGTCACCTTTCTATTCCTTCCTCGCCAACCCCCATCCCCCTGACCCAAGTGGTCCTTTCTAGCTAACTCCTAATCCATTAAAGTTACAGCTTTCCTGGTCACCAAAGCAGTTAGCAGTGAGGGGCTTCTCTAGGTATCTACACACTTTACACATTGCTGTTGGTTGCTGTCAAGTTGGCTCTGACTCATGTTGATCCCATGTATAAGAGAGAGAAATGGTGCCCAGTCCTGCACCATCTTCACAAGCACTGGTATTTTTTAAGCCCACTGTGTAATGCCTTCTAACCTAGGGCGCTCTTCCTGTAGCATTATATCAGCCAATATTCTCTGGTGATGCATAGGATTTTCACTCGTTAACTTTTGGATGTAGAACCACCAGGCCTTTCTTCCTAGTCTGTCTTAATCTGAAAGCTCTGCTGAAACTTGTTCGCCATGAGTGACCCCAACAGCTTTTTAAATACTGGTGACATAGCTGCCAGTATCACTCATACTTACCTCTGCAAGGATGTACATAATTAACTCTGTAAAGATGTCCATGGTGGCCTGGCACTGTCTTAAGAATAGACTAGGTCATGGAAGAAAGATGTGACAGTCTGCTTCCATAAAGATTTATACCCTTGGAAACCCTATAGGGCAGTTCTACTCTGTACTATAGAGTTGCTATGAGTCAGAATTGGCTCAACAGCCATGGGTATGAACTTTTAAGGATATGGTGAGACACTTAAGAAAATACTAGTTTTTGGGAGAAAAAAAAAAACTGAAAAGAAAAAAAGAACAGATTAGGAGGCAGAGTTTATTTCTGAGATTATTTTTGATTAGTTTTTAGACACAAGGGCCTCCAGATCCCTAAAGGAATTGATGAAAAAAAAAAAAATGTAAATAATCTTAGAAGAAGATTACCAATTGGCAAAGTTGGGTGGGAGCCTGTGCCATGAGTATTTTGCTGAAAGTTCCATGGTACCTAGTGATGCTGGTGCAGTAGTGGGTAAGACCTTTGGCTGCTAACCAGAGGGTCAGAGGTTCAAACACACCACCTACTCCATGGGAGAAAGATGAGGTAATCTACTTCTTTAAAGATTTACAGCCTTAGAAACCCAATAGAGGTCTCTATGAGCTGGAATTGACTTAATGGCAATGGGTTTAGTGATGCTAAAAGCAAACACAATACCTCCCAACACCACTAGTTGGATACCACACAAGAACAATTTTTCTTAGCCAACCTTTGCCTCTTGAAGGTGGGTTACTACCAGGCCTCCTCTAATTTCTCTCTCTTGGGAAGCAGGCTGCATGTGATAAGGTTGCTTAAATCTAGCTCTGTCAAAACTGGATCTTGCTGAAATGTCTTAAAATTTCTATTATGTTGATGGTTTCTAATGCAAACCTTGGTCTTTATTCATTACTTATTTATTCAGTAAAGCTTTACTGAGTACCTATTAGAAAGCCATCACTGTTTCAGTGAATACAAAGTTCCTTCCCTTGGGAACTTACATTATATTTGAGGGGAGACAGAAAGTGAAAAAATAATTAAATTTATATATCAGAAAGGGATAAAAGATAAAAAGACAAATAAAGATGGGGAAGGGAGGGGAGAGTTAGCAGTTACTATTCTGAATTTCACTCTGAGTGAGGTGGAGGCCATTAAGAGGTTTGAACAGAGGAGTGATGTGATCTGCTTAAAGTTAAAAAGACAGTCCTAGTTTTTTTTCTTTTTATATATTTGATTGGTAGTTTCATAGGTAATTTGGGAAATAAAGTGGTTGAAGCCTATGCACAAGATGTCATCTTGATCAGAAATACCTGATTTCATATTTTTTCATTTTAGTTAACAGAGCTCTGGTGGTGTAGTGCCTAAAGCATCTGACTGCTAACCAGAAGGTTGGCAGTTCAAACTCACCAGCCACTCCTCAGAAGGAAGGTTGGGCAATCTACTTCTATAGTGATACCACCTCAGAAACTCAAGGAGGGGTCACTGTGAGTCAGATCCGACTTGACAGCAGTGAGTTTGGTTTTGGTTTGGTTGGTGGTTAGTGGTTAAGGCACTTGACTGCTAACCAGGAGGTTAGTGGTTCAAACCCACCAGCTGCTTTATGGAAGGAAGATGGGGTGATCTACTTCCGTAAAGATTTACAGCCTCAGTAACACAATGGGGGCCACTATGAGTCAGAAATGACTCAGTAGCAGTGAGTTGTTTTTATTATTATTTTAGTTAACATGCTTGGATGCTATCTGGAAGGTTGACAACTTTGGTCCATCCAGAGGTGCCTTGGAAGAATGACCTGGAGATGTACTTTCAAAAACCATCAGCCACTGAAAAACCCTGACAGGGCTGGTGGCTGGAACAGGTAAGGAGGGCAGGGGACAGCCCCCAGGTGGCAGGGAGCAGCAGCAGACAGGGCCAGTAGGAACAGGTAGGGCGAAGCCCAGGAAGTGAGCTGAGCACTTGGAACAGCTAAGGAAAACAAACTTTCAGTTTGTTGTCCCGTGATGGCTTGCACGTTGCTGTGAGGCTGGAGGCTATGCCAGCAGGGATGCCCATGGTGGACCAATTCTGGTGGAACTTCCAGATTGAGACAGACTCAGAAGGAAGAGGCCATCCACTTCTCAAAGAACTGGCCAGTGAAAACCTTACGAATAGTAGTGAAACACTGTCTGATATACTACTGGAAAATTTTATGAATAGCCCTGAAACACTGTCCATTACAGTGCCAGAAGATGAGCCCCTCAGGTCAGAAGACACTCCAAACATGACTGAGAGAGAGCTGCCTTATCAGAGTAGAGCCTACCTTAATGATATGGATAAATTAGAGTTTTCAGGTCCTCCATTTGCTGAAGTACCATGACTCAATATGAGACAAAACAGCAGCAAACATCCATTGATAATTGGAACATGGAATGTAGGAAGTATGAATCAAGGAAAATTAGAAATTGTCAAAAATGAAATGGAACACATAAAGATTGATATCCTAGTCTGAAATGCACTGGTTTTGGCCATTTTGAATCAGATACCCATATGATCTACTATGCCAGAAATGACAAATTGAAGAGGAATGGCGTGGTATTCATCACCACAAAGAATGTTTCAAGATCTGTCCTGAAGTACAATGCTGTCAGTGATACAATAATATCCATACGCCTGAAAGGAAACCCAGTTAATACTACTATTTTTTTCATTTACGCACCAACCACCAAAGCCAAAGATGAGAAAATTGAAGATTTTTACCAACTTCTGCAGTCTGAAATTGACCAAATGCGCAATCAAAATGTGCTGATTATCACTGGTGACTGGAACACAAAAATTGGAAACAAAGAAGAATCACTGGTAGTTGGAAAATTTGGTCTTGGGGATAGAAATAATGTTGGAGATCGTATTATAGAATTTTGCAAGACCAATGACTTATTCATTCAAATACCTTTTTTCAAGAACATAAATGGCAGCTGTACATGTGGACTGCATCAGACAGAATACACAGGAATTGGATTGATTACATTTGTGGAAAGAGGCAATGGAGCAGCTCAATAACTTCAGCCAAAACAAGGTCAGGAGCTGATTGTGGAACAGATCATCAACTGTGCATATGCAAGTTCAAATTGAAGCTGAAGACAATTAAAACAAGTCCATGAGAGCCAAAATATGACCCTGATTATATCCCTCTTGAATTTAGAGACAATGTGAAGAAGAGATATGATGCACTGAACACCAATGACTGAAAACCAGAGAAATTGTGGGATGATACCAAGAACATCATCCGTGAAGAAAGCAAAAGGTCATTAAAAAGACAGGAAAGCAAGAAAAGACCAAAATGAATGTCAAAAGAGACTCTGAAACTTGCCCTTGAATGGAGAGTACCTAAAGCAAAGGGAAGAAATGACAAGATAAAAGAACTAAACAGAAGACTTCAAAGAGCAGCTCAAGAAGACAGTCAGCTATTATAATGAAATGTGCAAAGACATGGAGCTGGCAAGTCTAAAAGGAAGAACACACTCAGCATTTCTGAAGCTGGAAGAACTGAAAAGGAAATTTAAGCCTCAAGTGGCAATACGGAAAGATTCTATGGGCAATATATTGAATGATGCAGGAAGCATCAAAAGAAGATGGAAAGAATATACAGAGTCACTGTACCAAAAATAACTGGTTGATGTTCATCCATTTCAGGAGGTGGTATATGATCAAGAACCAATGGTACTAAAGGAACAAGTTGAAGCTGCACTGAGGGAAGTGACAAAAAACAAGGCTCCGGGAATTAATGGGATACCCATTGAGACGTTTCAACAAACAGATGCTGCACTAAAGGCACTCACTCAGCTATGCCAAGAGATTTGGAAGACAGCTACTTGGCCAACTGACTGGAAGAGATCCATATTTGTACCCATTCCAGGGAAAGGTGATCCTACAGAATGTGCAAAATATTGGACAATATCATTAATATTGCACATAAGTAAAATCTTACTGAAGATAATTCAGTAATTTAATTACAGCAGTATATTGACCAAGAACTTCCAGGGATGCAAGTTGGATTCAGAAGAGAACATGGAATGAGGGATATCATTGCTGATGTCAGACGGATCTTGGCTCAAAGCAAACAATTCCAGAAAGATGCTTACTTGTATTTTATTGACTATGCAAAAGCATTTGATTGTGTGGATCATAACAAATTATGGATAACACTGAGAAGAATGGGAACTCCAGAATACTTAATTGTGCTCGTGAGGAACTTGGACACAGACCAGGAGGCTGTCATTTGAACAGAACAAAGGGACACTGCATGGTTTAAAATCAAGAAGGAAGTGCTTCAGGGTTGTATCCTTTCACCATACTTATTCAATCTGTATGCTGAGCAAATAATCTGAGAAGCTGGACTGTATGAAGACGAACTTGGCAGCAGGATTGGAGGAAGAATCATTAGCAACCTGCAATACGCTGATGATACAACTTTCCTTGCTGAAAGTGAGGATGACTTGAAGCACTTACTGATGAAGACTGAAGAATAGTCTGGAGTATGGATTACATCTCAATATACGGAACACAAAAATCCTCATAACGGGACCAATAAGCAGCATCATGATAAATGGAGAAAAGATTGAAGTTGTCAAAGACTTCACATTGCTTGTTTCTATAATCAATACCAATGGAAGCAGCAGTCAGTCAAGATATCAGATGTCGTACAGCACTGGGCAAATTGGCTTCAAAGGACCTCTTTCTAGTGCTGAAGAGCAAATATGTCTCCTTGAGGACTAAGGTGCACCTGACACAAGCCATGGTATTTTCAATCTCCTCATATGCATGTGAGAGCTGGACAATGAATAAGGAAGACTGAAGAAGAATTGATGCTTTTGAGTTGTGGTGTTGGCAAAGAACCCTGAAAGTACCATGGACTGCAAAAGAACTAACAGATATGTCCTGGAAGAAGTGCAGCTGGAATGCTCCTTGGAAGCGAGAATGGCCAGACTTTGCCTCACCTACTTTGGTCATATTGTCAGAAGGGGCCATTCCCTGGAGAAGGATATCATGGTTGGTGAAGTGGAGGGACAATGAAAAAGGGGAAGGCCCTCAATAAGATGGATTGACCCAGTGGCTACAATGATGGGCTTAGGTATAGCAAAGATCATGGGGTTGGCACAGGACTGGGCAGTGTTTTGTTCTGCTGTAAATGAGATCACTATGAGTCAGAGATGACTTGACGGCACCTAACAACAACAACATTGAAAACCCTGTGGAGCATAGTTCTACTCTGATATACATGGAATTGCCATGAGTTGGCATCAACTCAATGGCAACCGCTTTTTCAATATTCTACATTCAAGCTGTAAATTCTAATGAGATCTAGAAAACAGGCCAGTTCCCCATAAATAAAAAGAATTTGGGGCTAAATTACTTACTGGATATAGTTTCTTCTCTTCTTCACAGTAAATACCAACTGGTATTTACTTTGGGCCAATCTATTTCTTTAAGGTTTTAGTTTACAATGAAAAAGTGTTTTATTGTGTGCTTTAAAAATATATTCATTGTACAAATATAGAAATGATAGAAAAGCAAAGACAAGAAAATAAAAGCTATCCATATTTAACTTAGAGATACTCATTTAAAATAATTTTGGTGTATATAATTCCAGATATTTTTGCCCTAAATTTTCAAGGCATTTTAACAACTATTCTTGATATTAGTATGTACTGATGCTAACATTTGAATGTCAATATCACAGTATTATGCTGTGTGACAAAATGCCCAATGTACCTGACAATTTTATTATTATTATTATTGTAATTAATCACTTTCTCAAGGAGATACACTTATATCATCTGCTTAATGTCCTCATTAAAAGTCTTTGATTAAGCCTTTGAATTAGTGGTGAATGCTTTTATTTAGTAACTCATCTGGCAAATTTATAACCAGGCCAATTGCAAATGTCCTGGTGTTACTAATTGATAAAGACAACAACATAAACTCAAGAACAGCAATACCAACAACTGCTATTCACTGACCACTTATTATGTGTCTGTCAACCCGATCAGCAATTTAGAAATACAAATTACACCTATCTTCTAAAATATTTCAAAAAATGACATCAATGTAGAAATGTACTTTTGTTTTATTTATGGAAAAATGAGCTAGTTACAGAGTTGATAAAACTCAAGAAAAGCAACTAGCAGTGTTACCTTGAAGTATTCTTACTTATTTATCCAAGCCCCATCAATAATTAAGCTGCCCCTAGAGGCCACTGGAATACCATTAAATTCTTCTGCTACGCTGCACCAAAATGGTATGAAGACATTAGTCTTATTAATGTTATTTACCACTGCTGCAGCAACTCACTCAACTGTATGTGGTAGCTCTCTGCTAATATAATATCCAAATTATTTTTCAGAGAATGGATGACTCATTGGTAAATCAGTCATGACCATTATCACTCCAAAAAGCCAAAAAGTCAAAATAGAAACACATGAAATTCTAATGAATTTCTAATGCCACTCTGACCCAACAACTCTACTTCAAGGAATTTAGCATAAGGAAACATATCAGGGATGTATAAATGATTTAAATGTCCAACAACAAGGAAATACTTGGCCATGCAGATGGTAAAGCACTATGCAGGTGTTAAGAATTGTATTTTGAAAGATTATTTCAACACATGGGAAATTACAGCAGTATTTCACAAAATTAGCAGGTTACGAAAATAGCAAGGTACCAAACTACATCCAAGAAAGTATTAGTTTTGTAAAATATGTATGTATATATGTATAAACTGGGAAAAGATAGAGAAAATCTTTTCAATTTATTGAAAAATATTAACAGTAGATTGTGCTAATATGGGTAATTACTATTTCTCTTTCTGTATTATTGTTTTCTAAAGTTTTACAACAAATACATATATTTACATTAAAAAAAAAAGAAATAGACTTTCTCTTTCCAGGTATATACAGATTAGTAGTTTTCAGATTTTTAAAAAACTTATGGACTTTTTCTTCAAAATTAGGTCACAGCTTCAGAGAAGAAACTAGTCCACAGGGCTAATAGCCTACATGAACCACAGCCTCATCTCCCTTGAGACCAGAAGAACTAGATGGTACTCAGCTACCACAAATGACACACGTATGGATCCTGATGTAATGGGAGAAAAATGAGGAACAGAAATCAAATTCTTACAAACTCTAGACTTAATGAACCAGTTAAGAAAAAATGATTCCCTGAGACTACTGCCCTAACATACTCTTTAAATCTTGAAACAAAACTATCCCAAGATCATCTTTTAGTGAATAACAGATTGGCATACAAAATAAAGGATATTTCTTGTGAGTACAGGGCTTCATTAAAAAAAAACTACCTATACGAGATCAAATGGTCAACAATTACTCTAAGGCAAAGACAAGACGATGAAAAGCTAGAGTATTGGAACAACCAGAATGCAATTAAAAAGGATGCTGGCGCACCATGAAAAATGTAACTAACATCAATGAACAATTGTGCAGAAACTGTCAAATGGGAACATAATTTGCTGTGTAAACTTTGACCAAAAACACAGTATTTTTTAAAGACACAAAAAACTAGGTCACATACAAAAGACCTGTACAAAGAAAACTATAAAAGATTACTCCAAAAAACGTAAGAGATCTACATAAATGGAAGAGCATACCACGCTCATGAATAGGAAGATTGAACCTTGTGAAAATGTCAATTCTACCCAAAGCAATCTATACATTCAATGCAATCTCAATCCAGATCCCATCCACATTCTTTAAGGATATGGAAAAATCAATCACTAACTTTATATGGAAAGGAAAGACACCTCAGATAAGCAAAGCACTATTGAAGAAAAAGAACAAAGGAGGAGGGGTCCCATACTGCTGGATCTCAAAACCTACTATAAGTAGTCAAAACTGCATGGTATTGGTATAATGAAAGACAAAGAGACCAATGGAATAGAATTGAGAACCCAGAAATAGATCCATAGACCTATGGTCAGCTGATCTTTGACAAAAGGCCAAAATCCATTAAATGGGAAAGGGAATGTTTGCTTAATAAATGGTGCTGGCAAAACTGGAGATCCATTTGCAGAAAAATGAAACAAGATCTATACCTCACACCATACACAAAAACTTACTCCAGATGGATTGAAGACTTAAATGTGAAACGTAAAACTATGAAGTTCCTCAAGCAAAAACTAAGGACAAATTAGGGGCCCTAATATATGGCATAAATAGACTATCAAGCATAACCCAAAATCCACAAACAGTAGAAGAGAAACTAGATGAATGGGACCTTCTAAAAATTAAATTTTTATGTGCTTCCAAAGACTTCTCCAAAAGAGTCAAAAGAAAACCTACAGATTGGAAAAAATGTTAAGCAATGACTTATTTGACAAGGGACTTATCTCTAGAATTTATAGAAAACTCTAACACCTCAATAACAAAAAGACAAATAATTCAATTAAAAATGGGCAGAAGACATGAATAGACATGTCACCAAGGAGGTTATTCAGGTGGCCAATAAACGTATGAAGAAATGCTCACGATCATTAGCCATTAGAGAGATAAAAAATCAAAACAACAATGAGATACCATCTTGCCCCAGTGCTAGTAGCGAAGTTCAACAAGACAGAAAATAACAAATGCTGGCAAGGATGCGGAGAGATTGGGACTCTCATACACTGCTGGTGGGACTGTAAAATGGTACAACCACTGTGGAAAGCAGTATGGTGATTCCGTAAAAAGTTAGAATTAGAAATACCATTTGACCCAGCCATTCCATTACTAGGTATATATCCTAAAAAAGTGAGAGCCAGGACAAGAACAGATGTATGCACATGCATGTTCATCACAACACTATTTACAATAGCCAAAAGATGGAAACAACCTTGGTGTCCATCAACTGAAGAATGGATAACCAACTATGGAACGTACACAATGGAATACTACACAACCTTAAAGAATAATGTAGAATCTGCAAAACACCACATAACACGGATGAACCTGGAGGACGTTATGCTGAGTGAAATAAGTCAATCACAGAAGGACAAATATTGTATTAGTCCATTATTGTAAAAAGTCAAGGAAAGGTTTATATACGGAAGGAAATTTTCTTTGTTGGTTACCAGGGGTGGGAGGGGAATGGAGGGAACACTGTTAGATAGGTAGAGACAAGTATTGATTTGGGTGAAGAGAAGGGCAATGGACCAAATGTGAGTGATCAACATGGTGGTATTGAGGAAGAAATAGAGAGGTGCATGGGAAGTACAGACAATAAAGATGAACCCTTTTGTACATACAGTGTTGCATTGTCAGTGAAGGCAAACATGGGTATATAGGTGGATAGATGGGTGGAGAGGCTGAACTATTAGGTTTGTCTGTGCAGGGGGTAGTGTACCCAAGACCATGTACAGGGTTGGCAGACAATGTTTCTACAAGTGTATTTGTCTGTTCTGTAGAATTCCCAGGTGTAGAGTAGAGCTGACAAGGGACAAGGTTGTAGTCATTTCTTGGGCACAACCAGCAACCCAGAGGGAGCAAGTAGTTGAACCTATGGGCTCAGGCTCGGGACCATAGTCGCATGGGACATCAAGCTCAATTGGTATAACATACTGCACAAAACATTGTTCCACCTCCTACTTTGGTGAGTAGCAACTGGGATCTTAAAAGTTTGCAAGCAGCCATCTACATGCAATGATGGATCTCTCCTAGTCCAGAGCAAAGAAGAATGAAGAAAACCAAAGATTCATGGAAACATTAGTCCAAGCTACTGGTACACCATGTGATCCTCAGCCTATATGACTCTGAGACCAGAATAACTAGATGATGCCTGGCTACCACTGTCAACCACTTGGAGGGGGATCTATATAGGAGATCCTGGATAGAGAGGGAGAACAATGTGGAACAAAACGCAAAATCATTTGGGAAAAAAACAAAAAAAAGGGACCAGGTTTGCTGGTCTGATAGAGACTGGTGGAACCACTGATGGAGACTATGGCCCCTAGCTGTCCTTCAGGTCTGGATTTGAACCCACACCTGTGGCTTTCAGCCAAACAAAAGACAGGCATATGAGGTGAACATTTACATTAGGTAGATAAAGTCCTTGGAGAGAACAATCATGGGAGAATAGAAGGGTGTTTATGCACAGGGAGACAGCTCAGGGGGCAAGAGTGTATAGAGGGATGAACACAGGGAAGAGGTAACTATCAGGAGGAAGTGGGAGGGGAGCTGTTGCATTGTGGTAAAGTGTAGTCAATGTCATGAGATAAAGCATGAACTGCTGTACGGAAAGTGAATTTGCTCTGTAAACTTTCACCCAAATCACACACACACACAAACTAGGTCACAGCCTTAGAGATTTGTGGTATACTAGTATCTTTTATTGGGAGCTTTGGTAGCATAGTGCCTAAGGCCCTTGACTGCTAACCAGAAGGCTGGCAGTTCAAACCCACCAGCTGCTCCTTGGAAGGAAGGTTGGACAATCTATTTCTGTAGTGTTACCACCTCGGAAACCCAAGGAGGGGTTGTTATGAGTTGGGTCTGACTCGACGGCACATAACAACAACATAACAGTACTTTTTATTAACTTAAACTAATGAGTCTTTTTCAACATTTACTTATTTTATCTAAATGGTCTATTTGAAAGTACAGCTTTTTGTCATGAAATATCTTTGTTTTCTCCATATTGGGGTATTTAAATAGAATATGACTGGCTTTGACTGAAATAAAAAATGACTACAAATTTCCAAGTCTTACTAGCATTCTCTCCTTCCTTTTCAGATTAAGTCATATAATCAGGAATAACAAAAATGAGTTAATTTCATTCCTGTGAGTCTGAATCTGATGCCCTATCGCACTTATGCCAAAGTAGGGTAATTTTCAGTGGCTTGCAGCCAGTCTCTGCTGTTTTGAGTCACTGGGGATGATTGACAGACTTGGCAGACTCAGTATCAACTTTCAGGATTTTCATCTTCAGGATATTATCCTTTAGGCCAAGGATGACAGGGTTCCACTTCTCAGAAGTTTTTGGCCTATGCTTTGAGTGACATGACCAGTTACCACCAAATAACACCAATAGAGTCCAAAGTATGAACTATCTAAGATACAGGCAAAGAAAAGAACACATACCAGTCAGCCTGGCTCTTGTATCTCTCAGTCTTTAGTTTCCACATTTCTGAAAGGTGGATTATAATACCTGTTCATTAGGTGCTGTGAGGATATGTGAAATAATGTAAGAAAAACACAAAGCACAGTGCTTGGAGCATAGTTAAAATGCAGGAAGTAGCATCTTAGAGATGTCATTATTGTTGGTGAAGAAACAAAACAAACAATAATTTCACATATGCTTATGCAAACAAATGAAGGATAAACACAAATTATTAATTTGAAAACAATCCATGAGGAAATGACAGACTTCAGGATAATTCAAAACACACCGAGATAATTTAACATATTCAAATGTCATTTTATGGTGCTCCCCCTTAACTACTTACTTCTATTGACTTTCTAAAAATTGGTAAATAAGATTTTGTGATCAGGTGCTTCCATAATCAAAGTGAGTACTATACACTGGCCATAAGCTTTCCTGCAACTGTGACTGCTGACTTTAATTACATTTTTAAGTGTAGCATATGAATGGCCTATTTTCTGGCTGCAACACTAAACCAGATGCAGAAGAACACTCTCTCTTAGCATGAGTAATGGAAAGAAGGCAGGAAAGTCTCATGACTCTGGGAGTCAGGGCTGGAGACCAGGGAAGAGACCCATCACTGTCCCTTGTTTTTTGGGAAAGAAGTGAGGGTTGGTAATGAAACAAATCCATGTGTATGTTGTTGTTGTTGTTGTTATGTGCCGTGGAGTTGGACCCGACTCATAGTGACCCCTCCTTGGGTGTCCGAGGCAGTATCACTACAGAAGTAGATTGCCCCATCTTCCTTCCGAGGAGTGGCTGGTCCCATGCGTATAAGGAATCCCAAATTCTGCCCTTCTTCTAACGGTAAAGCAGAATGTAAGAGGATACAGTAGACCGTTCTCCTGTCTATTCTTCTATCGTCTAAATAGAATGGAGGGTGGAATTGAATAACTCTTCCTGTTGAATGGTTGAAGAAATCAATGAAGCTTCAAAGTCATGGCTCTCCGTGTAAAATGCCTGTGGTGGACTGGAGAGGCACCAGGTATTTAGCTACAATGGCATTCACTTTATTTTCCCCTGATTCTCTACTCATTGTTGAAATGTGAGAAGAAAATTTTAATCTAGCTCCGAGCAATGATGTTGTGAGATCATTTCTCAGAGTCTGCTTACAAAGGTGGCTAGAAACTTCACAATAAATTATATACAAATAGAATGTGATGATCTAGGTGCCAAAGTTGTGCCATATAACTTCTTTAGAATGAGAACACACTTAATATAATGCTTAGTATCATCTTATTGTGGTTGTTAGTTGCCCTGGAGTTGATCCTGACACATGATAACCCCATGTGTATAAAATAGAACTCCTCCATAGGGTTTTCAAGGCTGTCACCTTTTGGAAGCAGATCACCAGGCCTGTCTTCCTAGGTGCCTCTAATTTGTTTTGAATTGTCAACCTTTTGTCTAGTAGTCAAGTGCTTAACCATTTACACTACCCATGACTCCTTGGGTTTCTGAGGTGCTGTCTCTATGGAAGTAGAGATATCTTCTTTCCAAGGAGTGGCTGGTGCATTTGAACCTCCAGCCTTCTGGTTAACAGTCAAATGCCTTAGGCGATATGCCACCAGAGCTCCTCCAAATCTCATATTACATAATTATTGTTGTTGTTGTTATGTGCCATCGAGTCAGACCTGACTCATAAGGACCCCTCCTTGGGTTTCCAAAGTGGTATCACTATGGAAGTAGATTGCCCAACCTTCCTTCCAAGGAGTGGCTGGTAGGTCTGAACCACCAGCCTTCTGGGTAGCAATCAAGTACCTTAGGCACTATGCTACCAGAGTATATGGAATACATTTTACAACATATATAATAATAATAATTTTAACTAAAAGTTACCTAAAAACCCACTGCTACTGAATCAATTCCAACTCATAGCAACCACCCTTGAATTTCCAAGGCTGTAAATCTTTATAGAAGTAGATTGCTTCATCTTCCTCCTGTGGAGCAGCTGGTGGGTTTGAACCACTAACCTTTTAGTTAGCAGCCAAATGCCTTACCCGCTATGCCACCAGAGCTAGACCTTATTAAATCCAGACAGAGTTAAATACTTTCAATGTATGACTCCTGAATTCTCCAAACAACTACATGAAATACGTTATGCTACCCACTATATCAATACAGAAACTGAAGCATAGGAGATTTAGAAATATTTCCAAGTATACACAACTACTAAAAATGACAAAGCAAAGATTCATATCCAAAATATCTGAATTCTGAGCCTAAAAACTGAATCACTATGTTTTTCTGACAAAGAGGCTTCATCTATAGCAGCAAGGGCCTAAATCTGAAATAATCAGTATTTGAATAACTGGCTCTTGTTATTGTTTTTAAAAGTGTCACTTTTCTTACCTGTTGAAAACTTTATGTCCAGCTTAACAAGCAACTGACTATCCCTATAAATGATTCTGATATGATTTAAAATTACAGTGTTGAGCTGTTCCCTATACCTATGCTTGGAATTAGGTGTTCACCCAAGTGTCCTCCTGATTATCATATCTGTTTGCATACAAAAGAGGATTCATGGAATTATCTGTTCTAAACTCCCAGTAGGAGACAGAACAAGGATTCTCTGTCACTGATTAAACTGTGTTAAGAGGCTGAGAGGCTGAAACTGTCAAGCACCCAGCTTTTGGATCTCCATACAGACGTGGGGATATTTTTGAAAGTGTCAAAATCCTCTCCCAAGGACAAGCATTATGCTCACTGATGACCTCATGGAGTTTCTAAAGGTCACTTCAGAGTAACTCTAGCAATTTCTTTCAGTTCTGATTAAAGGAGAAAAGGCTCTGGAACGATAACAAAGGAAGAGTTCACGCTAGTCTTCCATTCTAATCTATGGGACCAGACGTTCTTTGCACAGGGCAAGTACGGATTCTGGCCTCCTGTTCTTTCAGACAGCAAGGTTGACCAAGTGCCTTGACAAGTTCTAGCCTCTCCCTTCTGGCCTCTGCCTCTCTTGCCCTTTCTTTTTCCAGTAATAACATAGGTGAAAAGATGAGGTCTGTAGTCTGCTCTGTTTGCTTAGGGTAGGAAAAATTTGTTACCTGTAATTGTAAGGATGGAGTTCCTGGGTGGTGCAAACAATTAATCATTCAACTACTAGCTGAAAGGTTGGCAGTTTGAAACCACTCAGAGGTGCCCTGAGAGACAGACCTGCTGATCTGCTTCCCAGAGATCAATGCCTTGAAAACCCTATGGAGCACCTATACTCCACACACAGTCAATTCTATTACAACTAACAATGACTGTAATGATGGACTCATGACACTAACTAACAACAACTGTAATGATGGTTAACTTTACAGCTGATCAGCTATGATTAGAAGTGAGAAGATTGTTCAAGAAACTTGGAGGATTCTCCCCTCTAAATGCCACAGCAACCAGCAACCGTTTGTAGGTATCTAGACAAGTTTGCAAGAAGTGTAACTTTTTAAGTCCCCAAAAATCTAGTTAGCAAGAAAACTGCTCAATAACAGAGAAGCAGGTATTTCTCTCTCACCTCTGTGTGTGTATATGTTTAATGGGTACTTTCCAGATCCCCCCTAAATGGCCAGGAACTCATTCCCCCAACTACTGGGAATATTGCTGCTGAGAGTTGAAAACTTACAGCAGTCCCTCTCTGGGAATTGCCCTCAGAAATCCCCCTTGGGAATTCTCCTCTACCAAAGGCAGCTGTCTGACCCACAAAATCACTTAGCCCCTCCCTAAACAAAGCCTGAATCCGATAACTGGAATACAAAGGTTAGGGCCTCCTGAGTCAACTCCAAAGGGCCATCCCAGCTGCTGAGCCTCACTCACTCCCAGTGAGGTCCTGGAAAGTACTCCCCAATCAATCCCCTGCATGCAAATCTCTGCCTCAGAGTCTGTTGTTCTTAGAAGCCATTTTAAGACACACAGAAATAATTTACCCTTTCTATTTAATAGATAAGGAAAAGCAGATAAAGAGAAGTAGAAGCTTCTCACAAGAGCACACAAGAAATAGCAAGAGCTGGGTTTCAACACAAGGCCATTTGACTCAGTCTTAAGTTTCCATCAATGTTACAAAAGCCTTGACATTACTTTACAAAATACAAATCCTTATACCTTAGCATTGGAAGGAAGGTTGGGGAATCTACTTCCATAGTGATACTGCCTCGGAAACCCAAAAAGGAGTCACTATGAATCAGGTCTGACTCGATGGCAAATAACAACAACATACTTAGCAAGACATACCAAGTCCATTTTTAATTCACATTGCATCACTTATTCACATACAACCCTTGGCCCAATGACATCAAACTCTTTCCTTTTCCTAAACACATCATGCTTTCTACTATTCCTTTGCACAAACCATTCTGTTTCCCCTGTAGTAGCTCACCGTCATTGTTTGCTTGATAGACTCTTCCGTACTATACAAGTCTCGGTTCCAGTGTTCATTTTTTCTCTGCAGAGTTTCCTGACCACTAGGTTGGGCTGAGTCCTGCAGCCAGCCCTCACAGTCATCTGTACATCCCTCTAATGCAGTAACTCTAACTGTTAATTATCATAATGAGTTCCTTGCAGGCAGGGACTTGTCTTTTTAACTCTGCTTCCCCAGGCAGGCATTGTAAAGATGTTTTGTTGAATGAATAAATGAATTCAGCTGAGGTGCGAGTCCCAGAAGTCCTGGCTGAGTGCTTGCCAGCACCCCCACAACTGGGAGGCTTCACATAGTACATTCCACATTTGGATAAACTTCAACCACCTTGAGTCCAAAGATTTGTCTTTCTTCATCTGGGGAGCCTTTTCCATACCTAACATTGTCTCTTTCTCGTAAGAAATTCTCCAAAAAACAAACAAAACCCTGTTGGGCTGAATGGGATCTCAGCTGAAAGGGCTGATGTATAAGAAAATCATTTCATTTTCATGGCTCAGTCTAAATTATTTTTTCAAATTGCTACTATGTAAGTTACATAGGATATTTCTCTTAATTAATATGCTTACTTCCAATTTAAAAAAAAAAAATCTCCTTTGTTGAAAGTATTTTTTTCCTTCTATTTTAAAAAGCAAAAGATGACTTAGGGTTTGTTAAATTTCATCTCCAGATCAGAAATCAAATCTAATGTGGATACATCAAACAGGACTAAAAAGTTTTCCAGCTGGCCTGCTTAATACTATGTTTTTGTTTAAGGAGCCCATTGGAAATATAACTATGTCATTAATCTACATGGTATTTTTCCCCCACTTTCAGAGACTAATAATTACTTACTGAATAGAGGTACAGGTATTGGTAGAAGCATCCAACACCACTAACACAAAGCTAAGGGGGGAGAAAAAACCTCACAGAATGAACATAAAAAAACTGAAAGCCATTCTTATTAGGCAAGTAGCTACATTCTCTACACAGGAAATGGTCCAATTTTGTTATTGTTCTCAGTAAAAATGTCCAAACAAAAAAGTGCTGAGAGCTGGCTGACACTAGTAACCATGATAAGAGAAGCTTTAAAAGCCCAGTTCTTATTTTTCAATGGGCTTGGGTATGAGGGAGCTCTCTGGCATATAAGGGACTGAGTTTTCCGTGCCCTGGGGCATCTTTTTCATGTGGCTCTCTCACAGCTCTGCTGCTGGTCTGGTGGGAGTTAGAAAAATCTGTGATAACATTTTCCTGAGAAAGCAGCACACTGATTATCTTGTCCTTCACAAGATGTGTGAGCCCCAAACACAGAACTGGGGGCTTATCCTCTCTGGTCTGATTTTTTATCACTTTAGGCAGTCTGTTGCTAATGACAGAAGAGCAACTCAAAGGTATATCTGATTTAAAGTTTTTGCTCACGTGGTTCAGTAGGCAGGTCACAGATGTAGTGATATTTAATTCTGTAACTATGCCTGCCCACTTTTAACCTTTTGACTGTGTCTTTAAAATATTTATTCATTTTCCAACTAATCTTTACTAAGTATTTAATTCAGCACTAGGCACTGTTCTCAATCAGGCAAAGTGGTTGCTTATAGGAAAGCATCCCATCCCGGGACTCATTCATGAAGTTTACCTTTATTTTTTTTTTTCCTCCCAATAGTTTTAATATGTTGTTTATTACTTTCCCTCAATAAGACATGCTGATACACCATAGGTCAAACTGCGGATTCTCCCTAGAATAAAAGTTGACTACAACCAAAATAATCACAAAGGCTGTGAAATGCTAGTAGATTACTGATTTGTTTTATAATGAGATTTTCTGCAATGAACAGCACAGTCTAAACATGTTTTTTCTAGTCTTTGTAAATCACTATTTGTCTATTTGAAAACCTACTTTATTTGCAGAGTACCTTTCACTTCCTAATCTGTGCCAATGAAACAGTAAAAGGGAGGAGAGGCAAGGTTATGTTTTCAAAACCGCTTTGCCTGGGGTAAACGGTAAGAAAGATGTGATTATCTTTTGGCTTTCCTCACTCCCCACTGCCAGCATTCCCAGTACCTCCCCCAGGAAAACTGCCCAGCCACTAAGAACAGTGCAC